GAACCTTTTGTTAAATTGGGACTTACTTGCAAGTAGTTTATGCGTAGCACTGTAACCTTAAAATTAATCCCAAATTATTGCAAATGTTTGGCCTCAGTCTCTTTTACTTAATTTTAGAACTTCTGGGTCCCCTCCGTGTTCAGACACTAATTCAGTACAGAATAAGCAATATAATTGCCTTGATACTATTTTGATGAGAAAAATGACTAGATAGCCCACAGGCCTGTTTTAATTCTATGTAAATAACATTTTGGCCTAGCCAGACCTCTGGTTGCTCAACAGGTGTTTCAGATGCAGATGTTTCATCCTGTTGATTGCAGTGATTTACACTGTGTAATCTTCCTTGAGTCCCAGTGAGAAAGGCTGGCTATAAATAAAGTCAAAATAGATATCCCTCAGACTTTTGTGATAAGTGTTAGTGTTCAGAATGTGCAGTCCCATAGATTTCTAAGCATTTTATGCACAAAGCGGGTTTGAGGATTGTGGCTCTTGGTATTGCTAACATATGGATTTTACAGATAGCATGAAAATGTTTATATAAAAACAGCTGCTTTTATTAAGATAGCTGCAAAGAAATTTGTCGAGATATTTCTGGAGCTGTGAGGTTTTACTAAAGTAATTCAAACAAAGTTCACCCTGTGGCAGAGGGCCTGTTTCTCAGAAATTATAGCCTTTCCACATGGCTGATTCATATGTTACGGAATACACAGGTTGGGTGTAGGGTCATGAGCGGAGGGTTTTGAATTCCCATGTATGCAGTGCCCAATTTACATTGGGATTTCAGCCTCCCCCCTGTGCCATTGAGACCTGAAACATTCTGGGGGGAGTACTACTTGGCCCATTGGAGAAAAACACATATAAGCCCAGGTTATACAGGTCTCCACTGTGGGCCAGGTAGCGCCTCCCAAAATGGTGAGGGGGTGGGGGAAGAGGTTGAATCCCCCTTCTCCATGCTAGTCACAATCCTAATCTGAATTGGGCATCATGCACATTGAAGGACAGCATGCAACGCACATCTGATTTTTACACAGTCTTGGGCCCCCAGACCCAATCTGTGTACTCTGTAACATGAATCAAGTCTGTAGGGTGGGTAATTCTTGAGCAGAATGTATGAAGCTTTCTTATACTAAGCAGATCACTGGTCCTTCTAGTCCAGTGCTATCTAACTGGTGGCAGCTCACCAGGTCTCAAGAAGAGAAAAATCTTTTCCAGGTCCTGTAATGTGAAGAAGAGAACCTGTGATCTTCAGCATGCTCTATGCTATTTAATTATGGTCCCTCCCATGCATGCAGCATGATTATAAAGACACATTTCTGTTACATTTCAAGCCAGGGCACTATAGGAAGCTCGGACCTGTTTACAGGTTTAGGATAAAATGCCCTTGCATTGAAATCAACCCCAAACTGGTTATTTCTGAAACAGGGAAAGTATTTGCAAAGCTTTGTATACTCTGTGTTTAATACATATGTGTTATGCATCACAATAACAATCCAGTATTTTAAAAAACAGTATCATATTATCTGCATGAATCATACTTAAGGAAATCTGGATAAACTTGCTTATGGTACTGAAAAGTACTGAGAAGCGTTGAGTGATTTCAGCAAAGTACTTTTATTAAGCAGGAACAAGACAAAAGTAAGCCGGCTCGCAGGCCGGCTTATATACTCAGAAACCCACCACCTAAAACACACCCACTAAGGCCCTATAGGCTATTTACAGTGGCTGAGAGTCCCATAGGCTCTTGGCTGCGGACCTGGCCCTCTGATAGGTGCGGGCTAGGATCCGCTGGACTATTGTTCTCTTGGAAGCGAAGCTCTGGTGTCTGGCCTGACCGCATGGCCCAACGGTCGTGCACGTGGTCATGGCGGAGTACATTACAGGTACATAACCTATACCGTGTTAGAGAGAAGAGCAAAGAGTAGTGTGGAACATAAGCCCTTCCCCCTGGCCACTGGGAAACCTATTAGCCTCCCCAGCTTTTGAGACTTCATCAAGAATTGTCCCCATGCTTCAATACCTGTTTATGGAGTAGAAAATTGCATTTTAAAAAAATAGCTGAGATTGTCAGGTTGCTGAATTGTGCATACAGTAACAAAGCCCATGCTGTGAACACAGCTCTAAGTACTGAATGCTCCTTCCTCACTAGTCCAGTGTGAAAATAAAAGTTAATGCACATTACCGCATTGATGTAGTGAGAGAACAGTTAGGTTTAGTTGCACTTAAGAGGAAGTGGTCATGTAACTGCTATGCATTAGTATGGCTTGCAACTCAACCCAGATTTATCATTCCATTCCTCAGTCTTTTAGTGGTTTTGCAGTGGTTCAGTTAAGGTGAGTCAGAAAGGTCTTGCATTCTCCACCATTTGCATTACCTCGGCTAATGGGCACACCCCACCAGGAAGTTCTCAAGATCAAACCCCACTGAAATGGTTGCTCCTTAAGAGCACTGAAGAACATTTTGGTGGATGATGCCCTTACTTTGATACGTAAAGAGGAAGTAGGAGGTCTTGTCACATGAAAAGATATGATGATTAGCACTTCCTGTTATTCTTTTGCTACCTGTTAGCTTAGTCAAAGGAGAACATGCATGAGTATATGATTACGAGTCTGTTGAAATGAAGCCCTTGACCTAGGTGGCCCAGGCTAGCCCGATCTGATAAGATCTCAGAAACTAAACATGGTCAGCCCTGGTTAGTATTTGGATGGGACACCACCAAAGAAGTCCAGGATCACTGTGCAGAAGAAAGCAGTGCCAAACCACTTCTGGCACTCTCTTGCCTTTAGGGTTGCCAACCTCCAGGTTGTGGTTGGAGAGCTCCCAAAATCACAACTGGTTTCCAGACAACAGGGAACAGTTCCCCCAGAACAAATGGTTGCTTTGGAATGTGGACTATATGACATTACATTTTGCTGAGGTCCCACTTCTCCCGAAACCCCACCCTCCTCATGCTCCCCCCCCCAAATCTCCAGGTATTTCTCAACCTAGAGCTGGCATCCCTACTTGAAAACCCTACAAGGTCACCATAAGATGGCTGTGACCTGATGAGACTTTACACATAAATGCATAAAAATGAAGTAGGAAGTAAACTGCTGGAGTCAACGTGCCTCTGTACTGTTTTACCCTGTGCCAGTTTGATCCATAGGTACTTATTACTAGTTATCTGACACTTATGTATTCTTCTAGAAGAAAAAAAATGCCTCTTCCAACCCCACCTACCACATGACAGGAGGGAAGAAGTTGTAAGTTCGTAAGTCAGTTGTAAAGTATTATTAAAAGGTGTGAAAACCCTGAAGGAATTCCAAAACATTCATTTTTTCCTAAAGACTTCAATAGATGAACTGGAAATATCAGGAAACACTGAAAAAAATATTGTTTTTCACACTCTTTTAGAATGAGAGAAATGTGACAAGGTTTTACTCATTCAAAATGTGTAATATGAAGATTTTTATGTAATACAATCCACAGTACTAAAGTGTAATAATGCCAGTGTATGATGTAAACATATACTGTACAGTATTTTCAAGGATGTGTTTATTGTTTAAATATTATTAACTTTGTCCACGATTAATATGCTGTGTGTGAGAATGATACAATATCAATATTTCTGATAGTAGAAAGCAACTATTACTGTCCAAATCATAGTTACTCTTGTTTGTTTTCTACAAAAATGGTAGTTTTTATGTTCAGCTTTTATTTCCCCCCCCCTACCTGCCTGATGGCAAAGATGAATATACATGTGTGCTAAGGTAGCATAAGCCATTTTTAATGCTGTTTCCCCCGCCCCCGTGGGGTGTGTGCCGCACTGGAAGATCTGCTTGCACCCACTTTTGGATCACAGCCCACAGGTTAAGAACCACTGCCTCACACAGAATTTGAGATCGTGGCCATTCCATGTTCATGGTTTCTGGTGTCCGTACAGAATGTCAACTTTCACCTCGTAAGATGATCATTAAGAATTATTTATATAATTGTATGCACTTCACCCAAATTGTGATAAGTTGATTTTGTGTGTGCATTTGTGTGTATGTGCGCATGCACGCATGTAACAACAGTCTTCTAAATGCACTATTTAATGTGGCCATGAACTGCCTGATTTGGAAATATAATCTCAATCCTCACTGGAGCTATGTTTTGACAAAACTGTGCCAAAATTTTCAGCTTGCAATGGTTTCATCTGATAGCCACCTAAAAAAAATGTTTGTGTGAAATTAATGCTGTCCGTTTCCACAGTAGTTTACTAGTTATTTTTTTTAATCTATCAAACTTTTACCCCGCCCTCCCGCCAAGGTGGCTCAGGGCGGCTTACAAATAATTATAGTCTTAAGGTGTCCCAGCATCTCACACAGACCCACAAGTTCCTGAGAGCCAGTACCCCTGCTATAGGCCCCTCTTTATGGCAACGTGTATTTGTTCCAATGAGATGTTGCTCAGAATATATCCTTCTGATGCTGTATGTATACGTAAAGACTAGGTTTTACTCTTCGACAAACATGTGCAGAAATCCAGATCTCAGCTGGTACTCCATAGACTTTAAGGAAAGCAATTGCTTGTGTAATTAATCTATATAGCTTTAGGGCTTTGTATGATAGGGTTGCCAGCCTCCCGGTGGGACCTGGGGATCCCCCGGAGTTCCAGCTCATCTCTAGACTATAGAGATTGGTTTCCCTGGAGAAAATGGATGCTTTGGAAGTTAGACTCTGTGGTATCCCACTAAGGTCCCTGTCCTCTATGGGTTCCATCCCAAATCTCCAAGAGTTTCCCAAACTGGATCTGGTAACCCTACCCACCCACCCCATCCCCTGCCGGTGGCCAGAGAGACCTGGCAATCCTATGTGTGGATAGTAACAAGGGAATGTTGTATATTTAAAAGTTTTGATACTTTTGCTAAGACAGTCATGGCACGTTACAAAGTTCACCTTAAATTTGGTCTCATCTGTCAGCACATGGTTCTGTAGCTACTCCCAGTTGCTAAACGGGATCTTTTACTGGTTGTATTACAGTTCTGCGCTGTGTGTGTAGGCAAAGTGATGGATGGGCGAGCAGAGATGGAGGTGATAAGAAGCACAAAAGGGAATGGAACCGGGGAGGTCAGTGTCCACTTGGTTGAGAATACAGTGCAAAATGCCCACATACCTGCAACAGCCTTCATCATACCAGGTAGGTGCTCAAGAGTCCGAGGTCTAGCTTCTGTTCTCCATGTTGCTGCCTAATATCCAGGCAAGCTGATAACCCACTTCTTCTGCAGAGATGTTGGCTTTTGTTGCTTTAGTTCACTTTGCAGTTTGCACTTTGCACACATGTACAATATGAACACTGATCACAGATGTCCTTCTTGGTTCAGTATGGAGCACTGCGCACTGCTCCATCAGATTCCCCCCTCCCCCGTTCTCTCTGAGGATCACAAGCTCCTCTCACATCTGATTGGGGAAGCCCATTTACTCAGATATAACCTGGAAGGTACTGCCCCAAACTGGATGGCTCAGGCTAGCCTGATCTCATTAGATCTCAGAAGTTAAGCAGGGTCAGCACTGGTGAGTATTTGTTTGGGAGACCACCAAGAAATACCAGGGTCGCCATGCAGAGGCAGGCAATTGCAAACCACCTCTGAAGTCTCTTGCTTTGAAAACAGTACTGGGTTTCCATAAGTCATATGCGACTTGATGCCAATTTCAACCAACTGACCTGGAAGGCTGGGAGTAAAGTAGAAAATGAGAACCTGAGTCAGAGCTTGAAATAAGCAAGGTGAAAGCTATGAAAGACAAATATTCTGGAAGCACTGACAAATACACAACTACACCAGAGAAATGAAGCAATCTTTAGAGGCTCAAATATGCTGTGTATTTGTCGATCACAGCACACTTGATGTGAGACAGAGATAATGTTTCTTTTATGCAACCTAATGAGGCAAGAAAAAGTCTTAAGCTGTAAGACCATAGTTTGATCAAACCCCAGTTAATTTTGCTGTCTAAAGGCAGACAATCCAACAAACTGAAGTTTATCAGTTGGCACTAAACCAGGATTGTAGAAAAGGGTTTGTAGCTGGTTTGTTGATGCACAGTTTATGCAAACTGTGGTTTGCTGGGATGTCTAAATTAACAAAGCAGCAGCTCTTCCACTTGCCTGGCCACCATGATGGCAATATAGATAAAAGGTTCTCCTTGCTGGGAGGCAGAATACATAACAAAAAGCAAAACAAACCAAGGTTTATGCTTGGTCTCGTCTTTGTTATTTGTGGCTTGTTTCATCCACAGTTTATGCAACAAACTGTAGTTTGTGAACAATACTGGTTGATGAACCCACAATCTGTTGAACAAATCACAGTTGGAACAAACTGCAGTTTATTCTGGTGTCTGAGTACAGCCAAAGAAAGCTGGCAGTATTATGCCCATCAGACCCCTTCCCCCCATTGCCTGATCCATCCAATAGTGGCAATGCAGCTATATAAAACTGTATAAAAGGCATGGGAAGCCTTGGCAAACTACCTGACTAATTGACTTTACATGTAATGTGGTTAAATCTGACTGCTTCTCCTGTGGGACATGTGAAATATGCTCATCTGAATACGAACATGTTGTACTGCTTTCTTTCTCTCTTTGCAAGCAAACACAACCACTGTAAACCTTCCTACAAGCACCTTAGAAATCCAGCGATTCCCTCGGGAACCCCAGAAAACCCTGGGGGCAGAGAGACAAAAAGAGGGCACAGGAAGTGAGCCAATCACTGCAACAGTCATTCCCCAGATCAGTGGAGTACAGACCTGCAACACTATCCGGGTTCTGGAGTGGAAAGATGGGGTAGCCACACTGCCTGGAAGCAATCTAAGGGTAAGTGGATAGTCTGCTTAGTACTGTTCTCAGTCATCTTTTGCTTGGCCTGGGGAGTTTTTGAGCATAATACTTGGCTAACGAGTAGCGCGGTGGCTCTTTTAAGGCTGTGCAAAATGTTCTTCACAGTGGGAGGACTCAGCCCTTGCATCCCAAGGTCTTTGGTGAAGATCTGTGGCCCCCATCTGAAACAAAAAACCAGATTTGTAGACCATCCCTTGATTAACCAGAACACTTGGTTAACTGGCTTGCTAAGTGGGTGGTAGTCCTGACCTGGATAGCCCAGGCTAGCCCAATCTTGTCAGATGTGGGAAGTTAAGCAGGGTCAGCCCTGGTTAGTATTTGGATGGGAGACCACCAAGGAAGTCCAGGGCCATGACATAGAGGAAGGCAATGACAAACCACCTCTGTTCATCTCTTGCCTTGAAAACCCTACAGAGTTGCCATAAGTCAGCTGTGGCTTGATGGCAAAATATCTCTGTATAAGTGGGTGGTGGATGCAAGCTCTCCCCTCTTGACTCTGGGGATGATAAGTTTGGAGCCCCTCACTGCTGCTTGGGTGGTGCAGACAACTGAGTCAGCTGCAGCATCCTTAGCCAAGCCGGCAAAGAAAAAACTTGCATCTTACCAGAGTTGTGCAGATGCTTGGAAGTGCCATGGGCTGGGGAGCCCTGCAGGATCCTGGAGAGCAGCTCCTGCCTTGGCTGGCCCCAAACATGGCTGCTGCTTTCTGCAAACCTGCCTCTGGCCATGGGTGGAGAAGGTGAGAAGTCCATGGTGCCAATGGCTGGGCTGGCCAGCAGCAGCCCTGAATAGGTGGTGGTCGAAAAGGCTCTGGGGCCTAGGTGCAGCAGCCACCTGTTCCGTTGCTGCTCATTTGTACTGTTCACAATGTACATTGCCCTGAGTTCCTTGGGAGACAAGCGAGATACAGAAGCGGCAACACCATCTTGTTTCCATTCCAACACAATACAGCCCCCCCCCCGACTTCTAATCTTCTGTCCTTTTTCAATGCAGTTTCGAATAAATGAGTATGGGACACTAAAAGTGGTCAGTACTGACAAGCTGTCACCTGTGGAGCCCCTCAAGGAGTGCCATTTGGAAAGAGATGGGGATGTTGAGATGGCCCCCGCCAGCAAGGACAATCCCACTGTGGCTCAAGGTGAGAAAGCCTCTCTAGCAGGTATTCAGAGGATTGGATTTTATGAGCTGCCAATGGAAAGGGCTTGCAGTCATGGATCTTTCCAACTTCCCCCTAGTGGTCTTCTGAGATCTCCAAAAAGCTGATGCTTGGACTTTTGGGGGCTGCATGGTCAAAATGCCACAGAACACAGCAGGCAACTGTCAACGGAGCTCCTACTTCCCCCTTGCATAGATGGAGCCTTTTTCATCAATGGAAATTCTGCTTGCAGAAGTGTAAGGAGGGATGGTCTCTTTAAACCTGCCCCCTATGTCCTGCTGCATTTGTTGATGGGGCCATGAGGACTAGCTTTTCAGAGGTCTCAGGAGGCTTTTAGGAGAATGGAGAGGTGGGAAAGATCCAAATCCTCAAGCAAAGTTGCTGTTGCCATTTGTAGGCTCCAAACCAGAACTTCAGGTCCAAGTTCTACTGTAGAGTCCCTGCTAGGACGTGGTGAGACTGAGAAAGTTGGGTGAGGTGCAGCTACTTTCTCTTGATACTTTACTGATCTTATATGTTTAGGGAAGTGAACAGTTGAAAAGCACTGTAGCAGTTTCTCAAATTTTGCCAAGTCTTTTTTTCTCCTTAAAATAAGAAAACATACGTATGTTAACTTTCACAAACATCTCCAACTTTCTCTTATGTTCCAGAGTTGTGTGTGTGTGTGTGATTTCTCACAACTCTGTCTCAGTGCGTACATGTGAGATCATTTGTTTCCTGTCCAGGCTAATATTTTACATTTTGTCCATATTCATGTTCTGCTACAATACATTTGTCACACAACTGAAAAAAAATATCTTAATTCTAGTTTTGTCTAGTGAATTGATTAATTAATCAATAAAATCTGCACACAGATATAGATGAGAGAAATATTCCTTTCCTTTTATACTAGGGTTGCCAAATCTGTTTGTTCTCGCGGTGGGGGGCTCCTGGACAGCGTTTTCCCCTCAAATGTTTCCCCCTCAAATGGCTGTAGCCCCGCCCCCAGCGTGACTGGTGTCATCATGTCACATCCGGGTGACGTGCACGCCGGGGTGGGGTTTCCCCCGGGGCCCAATTCTGCAGCAGCGGAAATTGGGCCTCCAAAGCGGGGGGAAATTTGCCCCCCAGGGGGAATTGGCAGCCCTATTTTATACCCTTAGAAGCTCATTGCTTCACAGATCTTGAGCAGCAGAAGATACTTGCTTCTTATAGAGAGAAATATTGATTTGAAACAGAAAAAAAAACATGCTTTGTGTTTCTTAGATGAGGCATGCATATGTTGTGGCAGGCACAACCTGTTGACCAGTTAATCTAGGGCAGCTTTTTAGTCAATTTCCAGCCTATTTGATTAATCCACTAACCACTGTAATGCTGCTTACAAGCACAAGCGAGGTCCATTTTAATAACTTAAAATGAAACACCAGTGTGGTGTAGTGGTTAGTGTGCTGGACCGAGTTCTGGGAGATCCAGGCTGAATTCCTACTGTGACATGGAAGTTCATTGGGTGACCTTGGGCCAGTCTCAGCCTAACCTACTTCACAGTACTGACCTTGTGAGGACAAAATGGAGGAAGGGAGAATGATGGTATAAGCTGTTTTAGGTCCCCTTTGGGAAGAAAAGTGTGGCATAATAAATATCTAAATAATTAAATAAGACGGGTCTTAGCCATGGCATTTTGAACATGCCCTGTGCTTGTGACTTGGTGCTCACATGATTGTTCTGCCACACCAGAATTGGGGCTGACCGTCATAGGCTCCAGTTGCTACAGTTTGCTGTCGTGTAGCTCATTTGGATTTGTTTCTCTTTTTGGTTGTCCAGACTTGGTTGTTCCAGAGCCACCCAAACTTCCAGGTGTGGACAGCATGTGTCATTGCAGTACCTGTGGGCGGAGAAATGTTTCTGGATCAGGCCAGGAAGGCAGAGGGTTTTGCAGTGAAAACTGCCACCGACAATTCAAAGAAAGGTAAAAAAGCTGCTACAGTTGAATGGTGTTTACTACAACAGAAGGACCATGGTGTAGAAGGCAATATTCAAATACTAAAGCACTAAATATTCAAATACTAAATACTAAAGCACCGAAATACTAAAGCACCGTGTATAATAAATTGAGATAAACATGTAAATTATGCAAACAATATTTGTATTGTGTCAGCTGTTGTAAAGGTACAATAATTTCACAAACTTAAACAATATGAACAAAACTAAGAACATACACAGTATTTCAAGAGATTAACACTTCAAAGAGTTGTAAACAAATGTCAGCTTCACAACATGAAGCTTGCAAGACTACGGGGGTGGGGCTGGTAAGTAGAATCCCATTTCTGTGTGCCTTAGTCAGGTCTTACAGCCTCAATTTTTTGTGAATTAGAATTTTTGAAAGTGTGGTGTGAGGGCAAAAATAGCTCCGTATTTCTCAAGACTTAGAACATGTAGTTGAAAGAGGGAATCGGCCAGAAGAGTTTCAGAACGTGGTGACAGCCTACAGAGATTCACAGGTGGTTAGCTTGAATGGTGAGCAGGAAGGAATGGGTCCAGGAACCCTCCAAGGGAAAGGCTGTCTCTTTGCATATGTACAGAGAGAAGGAAATACAAGTGTGGCCCTGGACTGAAAGCTCTAATTCTTTTGGGTGAGTTACAGAGCTCAAAGAAGGGTTGTTTCCTTTTCCTGGGTAGGGCTGCTTTATGAGCCATACCTGGCATGACATTTTCTGATTGACATTTAACTTCTTAAACATACAAATTAAGACTAGAGCAAGAAAGGCTAAAGAAACGACATATATCAACACAGCAGACTGAAAATGGATGGTTTAATCATCCCCTCTCTCTTGGGAGCCCTTGGAATAGGGCTGCCAACAAGCCTGGAAAACAATGTTCTTGTCCGTTAAATAGAGACTTAATAGGTGGAAATGGGCATTTGAAGCTTCTCATGTTATGGAGGTAAACAACATCACCTGTTAAGTAATAGCCCATTAAGCCTCTGTTGAAGGGACAGGACATTTTGCAACCCTACTTTGGAATTGTAGTTTTGTGGACCAGATCAGGAATCCCCTAATCCTACTCCTCCACATGAAGCCAGCCAAGTGAACTCTCTCAGAGCTCTCTCAGCCCCACCTGCCTCACAGGGTGTCTGTTGTGGGGAGAGGAAGGGAAGGTGCTTTGAGACTCCTTCGAGTAATGAAGGGTGGGGTATAAAACCAACTCTTCTTCTTCTACTCAAAGTTCAATACCCAGAATTCTTTGAAAGAAGCCAGTCTTATACAGGAAGGCTTTACATTTGCAGAGTAGATACGTTTCATGTTTTCAGCTTGTCAGAATAGGCAGGAATACAGATTTTGTAGAGCCCCCCCCCCCAGATGTCCACACGGATCCATGCATCAGATTTGTGGTTCTGAACTTTCTGGTATTCCAAAGCTTCAAAAGTTCCTTCTCTGGGGCTCTACTTGCCTCTTTAAGATGTATTTTGTATGATGTGAATGTAGTATCAGAATCAACCCTGTGTCCTTGAATGGGACCAGTTTTTCTACAGGAGGATGTAGGGCAGAGGTGCTGTTGTCTCTGGGCTCATTGATTTTTCAGCTGGCTGACCAGTTTAGCTATAGAAATGCTTGGAGTCTAGACAAGTCATTCAGAACATCGCCGCAGCCTCTTCCTGTACTGTTCTGCATCAGCAGACAATGAGCGAGGTATTCCTAAGCTTGTGTAAATGTTAACACAGTATGGGCCTTTTAAATATTTGTTGAATCTGTAGTCTTCCAAGGAGCATGGGATGGAATATGGAATATGTAGAGTTATCCTATATTATGCTTGCAATAGCTTTGATGGGTAGGTTAGGGCTGGTCCCACATAGCACCGATTCTCTTGGATGAGAGTTAGTGACTTGCCCAAGGCCACCTTGTGAGTGCCACAGCTAAAAGGGAATTTGAACCCTTGTCTTTCCAGTCCAGATCTAACACTGTTCACTACACTGTTGAATCCACCACAAATAGGCTATCAAGGTTATTGTGTTTTCCCATTGTGTTTCTACAGCAATCACAGTGTGGTTGCAGGAACAGGGGCTAGTACTGAGTAGGAAGCAGTTCCTGTTGCTTAGAAAATACTGTCAGTACATGTCCCAAATCCCTTGCTTTGCAGGTCTGTCATTGTAGAGAACTCTGCTGGCAGCACCAATTCTACTGAAATCCTCAAGCCAGTGAAAAAGCGGAAAAGGAAAGATTATCAGAGCCCTTCAGAAGAAGAAGAGGAGGAGTCTGAACAAATGGTATGATTGGGTTATACTCACCATAGTCTCTTGCAGCTCCATGTCTTCATGCACACATTTCCTCCTTAGATTGGCCAGAATCAGGGCCAGCCATACCATGAAACAGTCACTTTGGGCAGTAGATTCCTTTGGGTGAGCTGGGAGTGCAATTTAGAGATTGCAAGGATGGGACAATCACATGTACATGTAGAAGTGAGTCAGACCATATGCAGTTGTTTCTCTGGAGCACTTCTACATACTGAACGTCCCTACACACTAGCTATGCATGCAAAATGCTCAAATCCCTTTGCTTGATAAAAATGGTAATTGGTCAACCTAAATTAATAGTATGGAGTATTAATGTACAGTGTTAATAGTATGTATGCCATTATTACAAAGAATAAAAAAGCAATTTAGTATATGTTCTTAAAACTGTTGTACCATTTTGTAACTTAATCTTAAATATATCCAAGAACAGGTTTTTAAACTTGGCAGAATGTTCATTTCTTAAGTCTTTCTGCTGCCCTTCCTGATATGCACAAATTTATTTATTGTAATTGACTTGTTATTTAGGAGTTAAATTTGTAATGGTTGCTTATAAAAAGATGTATTATTTTTAACAGAGGTTCATGATATTTGATTTGGGCTGAGTCTATTTAACATATGCATTCAGCTGTATTCAGTGTAAATTGAGCAAACATTATTCACAGTGATCCCCCCCCCCCATTATTAAATGACATTAGCAGGCAAATGACAATAGAAGGTGTGATTGGATTAGATGTGATATGCAGAGAGGCAGTAGGCATGGAGAAATCAGCATTGGTAATGAGACAGGAAACCTAGGTCTCCATTCAATCCAGGTGGATGTATTATCTTTAGCTTCATTATTAGTTGCAATTCAGCAGTCTCTGTTTCTAATCTCCCTTTAAAATTCCTTTGTAAAATAACTGCTACTTTTGACCTAATCCAATCACACTTTCTATTGTCATTTGTCTAATGTCATTTGGCATCTGAAATCACTCCACTTTCCAATATATAGGACAGATGGACTCATATTCTAGCTGTATCTGAAGAAGTGAGCAGTGACTCATGAAAGCTCATACCCTAACCACAAATTTTGTTAGCCTTTAAGGTGCTCTACTGGATTCTTACTCTTTTCTACTACTACAGACAGACTAACATAGGCTGCAATCATACGTACCAGAAGCTGTGACAGACATGCGATTCCCCTGCAGATTAAAGGGACGCGATCAGATAGACACATCTGTCCAGTGTCCTGGAGTCATTGGCTCCGCAGGAGCATCGCAAAAAGCCACCGGGGAAAGGCTAGTAGTATCCAGAACTGCGGGGCAGGCGGGCGGAAGTCTGATCGCGCAAACATGCGTCAGTTCGCCCCAGGGCAAACAGCCTCGTTTCCCACCTGCAGTTCCTCGCTGGTGTTATCGGAGCCATTGCTACCCATTTTGATCTATCTCCACAGAAGAACAGGTTACCTCAACAGCACCCTGTTGCTCTGTTCAGCTTCACACTGTTGATGAAAGATGTGAAGCTAGAGAAAGGGGCAAACAGGGTCCATTTACACTGGTGAAAACAGTGCAGGAGGGAAGCCAAAAGTGCCTCCTCACAGGACTGATTATGTGTTGTCTGATTATGTGATGTCTGCCTCAGAGCATTTGCGTCTCTGAAAAGTCAAGGGCGGGTAAATCAACTGGGTAATTATTCAAAGTACAATTTTTGTCTATATGTCCTAGGAAGTAAAGCAGGAGGAGGCAAATGGCTCTGGAGGAGAACCCCCTGCTAGCAACACTGGGAACGAAGAATGGAGCACAAGTCAGCTGAGTAAGCATGGAGTGTGGCTCACTTGCCTGAGCCATCCAACTTTTCTCTAGGGCTGCTTCCGCACAGGGATTTTTTCAGAATGCAAGGAGGCCCTTGCATTAAAGGGGAATGATCCCATGACATTATGCTCATTCTGAGCAGGGCTCACAGCGTTCCTGGGGGTGTCGCCTCCTGTTTAAAGGTGGAACTGGGGGGTGGCTATAAGGTGGAATTTCTGTCTGGTGTGGGAGCAGGTCTCTGCTGCACTCCACTCCCCCCTCTCCTTAGTCCTCTAAAGGGCTTTTTTCCGTTTCCCTGCCAGACATTGCTGTAGCATTACAGTGCAGCTTGGTAGTGAAAGCAAGAGTGAAGCGGGGTGTTTGTGTGTCAGTGCAGTCACCCTCAGGGTTACACTTTGGCACAAGTCCAACTTGGGGATGAGGAAAGGAGCAAGAACTGTGGGATGACTGCAGCAGCAGCAAATGGTGCAGGAATGAGGAGGGGTATTGTAATGTATCCGCCATTACCACGTGCGCGACCGTTGGGCCATGCGGTCAGTCCAACTTGGGGATGAGGAAAGGAGCAAGAACTGTGGGAGGACTGCAGCAGCAGCAAATGGTGCAGGAATGAGGAGGGGTATGAACCCATGATTAAGCTGACTCCTTGGCTAAATACAATGTGGTGCTTTTTTCAGTCCTGCTCTTTGGATAACATTGCCAGCTGGCCAGGAAAAATTGTCCTTCGGTGGGTTTTCTGGGCATATATACCGGCCTGCGAGCCAGCTGTCTTTGTCTTGTTCCTGATTAAATAAAGTACTCTTGCTGAAATCACTCCACGTTTCTGAGTACTTTTCAGGTATGAACCCATGATTAAGCTGACTCCTTGGCTAAATACAATGTGGTGCTTTTTTCAGTCCTGCTCTTTGGATAATATTGCCAGCTGTTCAGGAAAAATTGTCCATGGGGTTGCGAAGAGTCGGACGCTTAATCATGGGGTTGGGTCCAACGAGGCTTTATGCTGGTGAAAAAGGGTGGAGGGTATCGCTTTATCTACCAAAATTACTATGCTGAGGATCATGGGACGATATGAACAAAAGCTGTCTAAAGAATGGGGGCTGTCTAAGGAGGAGAATAGGTTGAGATTGGGCAGAAGCACTGACTTGTTTCCTACCCATGAATTCTGCAGTATTCTCCTTTAATCTCCAGGAGGCAGCATGGGAGAGGCACTCTGAAGAAATATCAAGGAAATAATTTAGCCCTTTTTAGAATTGTATGTTTTAACAATGTCTTAATGTGTGGCTTGGGACCACTCACTTTGGGTTAACTCTGACTCAGATAGACATTAAAATTTCACAATGTTGGTGACATGACCCATGATTTCTATACATTTTTATTTAAAAAATTGGCTTTTAATTAAACCAGGTTTCTAGGTTTACAGGCCAGTTCATGTTAAACCCGAATCCCTCTTCCAGAAGAGGAGACAGAAGGTGTTTCCACGGATGTTTGTTCCTTGAGCCTATAAATGAATATCTGTGATGTCACTTAAGCCATATCTATGTATCTACTTGTCCCTGGAGTAGTTTTGTGACTGTTTTAAAGAGTGGAATATATTATACTAGATTAATAATAACTTAAGGACATGAATATAGCTCTTCAAAGGAATAAATAATTGGGCAAGGGAAGAGGTTTCCATATAAAAAAAACCCACACAAAGCTTGCAAGACCTGAGCAAGGCAAGACCTGAGCAAGATAGACGTTTTGGTGGTCATTAATTCATAGGGGTTCCATATGTCAGAAGTGACTTGGCAGCACATTAACACACAATTTATTTTGATGCTGTGAAGGACTAAAACACAACATTAAATGATAGAGGGGGAAAATACACCCTTTTTGATGGCAGCTGATTTGTTCTTTTCTTTCAGCATCAGTTGGTCGGCCAGCACAAGAACGGTTTCCAGGTGGGGATGAAGCTCGAGGGGATTGACCCCCAGCACCCTTCTATGTACTTCATTCTCACTGTGGCTGAGGTGAGGCGGGGTTCCACCTCTGCATCCTGCTGAGTATCAGCTGCTGAATACTGAAAGTCCTTTTCTGTTGACTGGCCTTGTGCCTTTCTCAGACTCTGTTATTGGTTGGATTGGGATAAACAAATGACCCCCACTGTGGGACCTGAGGGTATGGCACCCACTGATAAGTTTCCTGGTACCCTTATTCGACGTGGAGACTTCAGGGTGTGTTTCCACAGAATGCTTTTTAGTCTGGAAAACAACCCTCGTGGAATGTTGTTCATGTGGGGGACATAACATAAGGGAACCATTTTTATATCAAATGTACATTCTTGCCATTGTTAGTCGTACCTTCAGATTTAAGCATATGTGGCCGAATGTAATGTAGTTGGGGATAATAGAATAGCTGGTCTTTTTTTTCTAATATATATTTTTTATTTTAAAAACAAAATAATGTAAAAGAGGTACAGAAGGGAAGAAAGGGGTTATATAGGGATTATGAAACAAATTATGTTTATACAGGATATAGTAAACAAAGAGGTAAAGAGTTCCTTTTCCCTGACATTCCCTTCATTAGAGTTTTTAAGACATTTTCTACAATAGTTTAATCAATAATACATATTCTATATTGTATTATTTCATCAATGCTACATACTTGCTATAACTTTTACTATACCAAAATTAGGAGTTGATATTCAAAACTTTTCTCCTCCTTTTTCTATATTATACTACATTTATATACCTTACAATACATTTATAGACCGTTTTTAAACTGTTTCTCATTCTATCTCATGCTTGCAAAATAGACATTCCATCTCTCCTCAGATTTTGAAATAGATCTGTTTCTCAAATAAGTTGTTAATTTCACCATTACTGCATAATCAGCAAGTTTGTTTTCCCATTCTTATAAGCTTGGACAGAGGTCTCATTTCCATTTTGCTGCATAAAGAATTCTAGCCGCTGTCACCATATATTTGAATATCTCTTCCAACACGTTGGGTAAATTGTTGGGCAATATTCCTAATAACATATTCTTAGCTTCCATAGGAAATTTGAATTTTAACATATTCTGCACTTTTCCATGTATTTTCTCCCAATATCTTTTTACTTTTTTACAAGTTCACCACATATGGTAAAAAGTTCAGTCTATATTTTGACATTTCCAGCATTGTCCTTTGTAATTTTTATCTCCTTTCTTGATATCCTTTGGAGTAATATACCATCTGAAAAACATTTCATACTGATTTGTTCTTAGTACCTGACAGGCTGTGAACTTAAGTTATTTTTCCCATAACCATTCCCATTGATGTGTAGGTATCTGTTTTCTAAATTTCTGCATCCATTGGATCATACATTTTTTCACTTGTTCTTTTTCTGTTTCTAATTGAAGTAACAATTTATATATACAACATAAGATATGATCTTTTTATTTTGTAATCAGTTGTTCAAATTCAGTAATCTCTCTTAGCACTCCACCTTCCATGGTAATGATCTTCTTTAGTCTTGAAGCTTATTGGTAATACAGTAACCATTGAATATTAATTCCTTAAGTTTTCCCTGGCCATTTACCATTATATTATCAAGTCGCAGGTCTGGTATGGATCATGGACTGGATGAAAAATCCAAGACAAAGAATAGTAAAACTTGAATCAGCAAACCTAGATGAGAGTTTACATTATTTATGGTTTAAAAAGTCAACCAAAACTATAATAGTACAAGAAAACAGTCATATAATTAGAGATGGACTTTTGAGAATATGGTTTGCACATTGGAATGTACTGAGTCCTTCAAACTCATGACTTATATCTCCAATAGAAGTTTATCATGATAAGAATATGAGAGACAAAAGTGATTTCTTAGAATTGCTGGTCTTGAGAGCCTGTCAGAGTTTTGACAAATCTGCCTCCTACTGGCCAGAGAGGAAAATATCCAATAGATTAGGGTAATTATTCTGGAATGTTAGTAGAAGGAAAATTCACACAGTACTCTCCTTTCTGTTGCTTTTCCCGCTTGCAGGTATGTGGTTACCGGATGCGCCTTCATTTTGATGGCTACTCTGAATGTCATGATTTCTGGCTGAATGCCAACTCCCCTAACATTCATCCTGCTGGCTGGTTTGAGAAAACAGGTCACAAACTCCAGCCACCAAAAGGTAGGTGGACTGGCATCATGTTTATTCTAGCATAGCTCAAGGAGTGGATTCTGTTTGGTGTCAAGAGTAAACTAACACTCCTGGTAAGGGATGAAGGTGGTAGAGCCAGACTATATAGAGGCTGCTGGCATGAAGACACCTGGATTATATCCCCAGTTTAAGTGGTCCATAGTACAATCCTATACAGAGTTATACCCTTCTAAGATCATTGACTGAGAAGGATGTAACTCTGCTCAGGACTGCACTGTTAGTTAAGAAGATAAGAACATATGAGAAGCCAATGTTGGATCAGGCCAATGGCCCATCCAGTCCAACACTTTGTCACACAGTGGCCAGAAATACCAGGTTTTACAAGCAGTGTCAGTTTCATATGCTTCAAGTATATGTTATGTGTTCAAGAGGCCAGAGAGAGAACCTCAATGTAGCGCAAGGTCTTCTTTTCAAGTTTGCTGCTGCCATCACAGGGGAATAGGGTTGCCAGGTCCCCCCTGGCAGGGGATGATGGGGGTAAGGTTGCCAGGTCCAGGCTGGGAAACTACTTGAAATCTGGGGATGGAGCCTGGGGAAGAGAGTGGCCTCAATGGGGTGCAATGCCACAGACTCCACTGTCCACAGCATCCATTTTCTCTAAAGGGAACTGATCTCTGTAGTCTGGATAGGAGCTGTAATTCTGGGGGATCTGCAGGGGAAGCTGGTATCTGCAAGCCATCTAAGAAACATCACCTCCATTCACCATGGTTTCTTTAGGTCAACAAGTCTGACCTCACTAATATGTCTCCTCTTTCCTTTCCATTATGCGAGGATGTTTAGGTTATAAGGAAGAAGAATTCAACTGGGCCAACTATCTGAGGATAACCAAAGCTCAGGCAGCTCCCAAGCAACTCTTTGTGACCCCAGACAGTGTGAGTGGTTGCCTTTTTCTCCTACGAACTAACTCCTTTACTTGTCCTGGGTGTGATAATGACTGTGCTCTTGATGGCTGCAAAATAAATAGCAGCTTTTTGTGCAACAAACAGTATCCTTAAGTGTAAAATCAAAGGTAGGCTCAGAGAAACAGTGCTAGTCTTGATACACTAAAAATTAAGGCTGTCAGTCAATAAATGAGGTGGCCAATAACTGACAGCCTTGCTGATTAGAAGGGTCCTCAGTCTGCTCATCAATCAATGCTTCAGTTGATTAATCTACTGGCTGAGCTAGTTTGAGCCAGCCTTAACCATTTTTGCTTAGTCCACGACAGCAATCAGTTATGCATCTACACAAGTTTTCTCTGTGCTGCATTAATTGCTGCTGCAAAAGCAGAGGCATTTGCTTTGGACACAGAGCATCCACATGGGATTTTTCTGTGCAGTTTTCTCCACCAGTCATTCCCCCTCCACACACACACACATTTTTCCTACTGTTCCATCAGGATTTTGAGGGCTTTTTTTTGGGGGGGGAGGGAATTGGCAATTGTAGTTTTGAGCACTTTAATGTTTACACTAAAGTGTAATGTTTACATTAAAGTTAACACTAAAGTGTAGTTTTGAGCACTTTAATGTTTGAATGGGTTTTAAATTGTATATTATGTTTTTAACTGTACTAAAGTATTGATGTTTTTATTAGCAAGTTTTTTCTTGCCATGTAAGCCGCCCTGAGCCCCACGGGGAAGGGCGGGGTACAAATTTAATAATAAATAAAATAAATAAATAAATAAAATTGCTGTAGCACTATAATACTATAGCGGTTACTGCATCTGTGGCCCAGTGGGGAAAATGGCAACCACAAGGGGGTGCCAGAGAGAAAATAGCAGTGGTGTGGGTGGGATCTTTGAAAATGAGCTATTTCCCGTTCAGGTGGCACTCTAATGTACATTGACTGTGCTCTCTCAGAAACTGTCATAGCAAACCAAGTTTGAGAAACAGTGTGCCAAGGACTGGGAAAACTTGGAAAGTGGATGTTAGAGGACAATATAGTGTGGATGCTCTGAAGAAAAATGTCCCAGTTTGGAAGCAAAACACATGTGTCTCATTAATTTGTGGGGGAGGGGGGGGCTGATCCTTTGGATCTTTCCCATTGGAACCTTCCTCCTTGCAGGTGGCGGATGGCATGGGCGCGATCCGTGTGGTGCTCACATCTTCACACTGTTTACACTTTACCCCTACATCATGGGATTGCACTGTATGAAAGCCTTTCCTATGTGGATGTGGAAAGGGACTGTTTCTGTCTTCTCTTTCTTCAGAATGCGGCCCCAACGGGATTCCAAGTGGGCATGAAACTTGAAGCAGTGGATCGTATGAATCCTTCTTTGATATGTGTTGCCACGGTGACAGATGTGGTGGACAATCGCTTTTTGGTGCACTTTGATAACTGGGATGACACGTATGACTACTGGTAGGCAAGAGATGAGCGCAGGAGAACCGTTTCATTGGGCCAAGCATTGCTTCTAAGCTCCACATCAAATGAAATCTGAGGTTGTATGAAGTGGCTGCTGCACATTTGAAGTTCTTCTAGGGATTTTGAGGGAATTTGAAATTATATCATATGGAAAGGGCTGTGACCCAGTGGAAGAGCCTCTGCTGTGCATGCAGAAGATCCCAGGTTCGATCCCCAGTTAGAAGGACCAGGCAGTAGGTGATAGGCAAGACCGCTACCTGAGACCCTGGAGAGCCGCTGCTAGTCTAAGTAGACAATAATGACCGTGATGGCCTGATTCACTGTAAGGCAGCTTCATGTGTGACAGTAATAACATCAGTGACACTTATCGGAAGGGGTATTGCACATCTCCAACTGGATCATAATCCCTGCTCAATCAAATACTGTCTTTCTAAGCAATGTTGGCTTTTATTGCTGTTTCAATAGCAATGATTTTTCAAGTGTGCAATTGAAATGGGAACCATATAGCTAAAAGCTGTTGGTTTAATAGGCCAATTTGTGCATGACTGCTGCATCTCTTCCTTATGGATCCAATATGAAATGGTTGGGACATTTGGAGATTTCCATATCTGTGCCATGGAAGTGTGAGGGCAAAAGTCCATGGAAGTGTGTGGGAGGTCCCTGCTTCTGTTACCTGATCCAGGACATAAAAGTGTGCAAATACGTGAGGCAGCAACACAGCTGGGATATAGGAAGCAGAGTGCCAGACCACCCTAAGGGTACAGTGTCATATGAGGTTTGATGTGGGGGATGCAGTGGTGACGTTCCCAGAGAAATAGGTCTGAAACTCCTTTCTGTGGGAATATATGAGGTTGACTCAGATACCATACAGCCAGCAGTAATCCGAGTGGATGGAGACATGCACAGTGGTGAGTCCTCATAATAGGCAGAAAACAAGCTGGGCACTTTATTGGCCTTTATTGGTGGCTACAAGCATGGACGGCTTCAAAAGGGAATTAGATGAGCCTATGGAGCAGAGGTCTATCAGTGGCTATGCACCACAAGGTTTAGATAGGAACTCTGGGGTAAGTGATGCACTGTAGTCTTGGTGCTTGGGGGGGGGGCAACAGTGGGAGAGCTTCTAGTGTCCTGGCCCCACTGATGGACCTCCTGATGACACCTGGTATTTCTGGCCACTGTGTGACACAGAGTGTTGGACTGGATGGGCCTTTGGCCTGATCCAACATTGGCATCTCTTATGGCCTCCTCTTCTTTGATCTGAAGCTGTTGCAGCTCTGTTGGTCCTGTCAGCTCTTAATTCCTTCTATGATAACATCAAATTATTCATCTCAAATTGTTGCATGGGCAGGCATCAACTTTGATTCAAATTAAGCAAGCTACATTGCAGAAGTATATGGTATCATTTGAACCTACCCCAGGACATCAGCGTTCAGGGTTTAGGATACTGGGGGTCTGGCAACACTTCTGCATGACTGTTTTTGATCACAGGACAAGAAAGTGATATTTTGAGCTGCATAAACCATAG